ATTTTATCTTAAATCATTGAGCTACTCTTTGTTCTCTCCTGAATTAAAGAATTTTAATATCTTCATATATTTCATATATATTTATTTATATATTTGCACATCTTATACAAATAAGACCATACTGCATATAGCTTGATACTGTGATTATTTTATATCAAGAACTTTCTCATGTTAATAAATATGAAAAAATTGACCCTAATGTTATGTAATATCCCACTGAATGGATGTGTTACAATTTACTTGACCATTCCTTTTTTGTTTACTTATTTACTCTATTTCCAACAGATCATTTACTCTGTTTCCAACTTTCCTCAACTATAAGCCCTTCTCTATATCTTGGTTTATTTTCTTATAACTTGTTTCTAATAGTGGGATTGCTGGTGAAAACATCTGGGTTTTCCTTAAGGATACTGATGAAAACTGCCAAACTTCTTTATGAAGGTTATCCACATTTCCACCAGTTGTGTGTATTAAAAAAATATTATGTATGTATGTGTGTGTGTGAATGCTGAAGGGCATTCTCATTCATATACACTCCCCCCCACACCCTGCCTCACATAAATATACTAGTTGAAAGTAAACATGTAAATATTGAACATGAAAAATATTATAGTATTAGTATATAATATGAATAGCATTTCACACATGTGGCTTTATTGACCACATTAAATGAAATTTATATTAACAGTACTTCTGTTAGTTTATAGGTGGAAATCTAAAAGGCCAGCATTCTGGGTTTCCTAAATTATTATGTATGATTGCTTACTTTGACAAAATGGTCTGTGTAACATTACATCAGTATAACGATGTAATGTCTAACTTCACTGGGAAAGGATCAACTAGCAGAAAATTGTCCTGTTTGGCAGTTACTCATCTCTATTTAATGATAATTTGCATCCGTCTAACAACCTTTATCAGAGGGCCTTCTATCTCTTTTCAGATGTGATTAAGCTAACAATGGGAAAAGTTTTCACATTTTCTTGCCTTCAAAAAGGAAAAGTTAATTTAGACAGGGATATGCCCTTAACTTAAATGAGTTCTTTAGATGAATTGAGCAAATAGGCAAAAACAAAACAAAACAAAATTTAGTGTACTACCCAATGACAGTCATCCACATATTGTGCTATAAACCATTTGGATACAACCAGTCCTGACTTTGTGATAATATAGGTAGGGTCTAAGTTTGAATTACATGTTTTAAAAATAGGCAAATTTATTAAGTAACCATTACTGGAGAAGGTGAATTGTTTATTAAAGAACACAGTGCTACTTTGAAAACCCTTTACATGTACTCATATACACATATATACAACTCATATATTAAATACATATACTAACAAGATCCATAAAGCTGGTTGCTTGTCATAACCCAGCAGCCCAGTTACCTAATTTGCCACTGCTTGTGTTTGTGTGTATACACACACCTTTCTTTTACAATATTCGGACTCACCTTCTCCCCAACTTGAATTCAAATTAATGAGATTTTTCTAGAAAGATCAAGGTGGCTCAAAATGTAAAATAATTATTCACTCATTGGTCTAATAACAAACTGACTTTTGGCACTAAACTTGATCTAAGCTTACCCATCCCCACTTTCATTTTTTTTCTTTTTAAAATAACCTTAACCCGTAACATAGTAAGCAGTGCTATCAGAGTCTTCTAGTAGAATCCTGTACTGGTCTTTTACTTACTAAACCCAAATGGTCCTAAGCTGGCTTCCAGCAGTTTTTGTTCCTTGAGCTAGATGTATAAATGCAGCCCCAAAGGCACTCTTTTATAAGAAGCATATTTAAAATTAAACTGTATTTAACACTTAAATTCTATGCCGCCCAATCCCTCAACCCACATACCTGAATAAAACTGAATTCCCTCCAGTTTAAAGCATTGCTCACTGAAGGGATAGAGGTGACTGCCAGGAGGGAGAGTAAGCCAAGGCTCATTATGCCAAAGGAGATATACATTTCAATCCTCCAAACTTCTTCCTCGTTCCAAGAGTTCTCGATATTTGCATGAACCTAATGAGAGCAAATGTGAATTTCTTTTATTTGGCAGAACATTAACTGATTCAGCACAGTTCACTCTTGGCATGAGAATACATCATATATGGATATATTCAAGTTGCATTATTTCAATTTAAGACTATGATGGAGAACCTATTAGTGGATGTTATTGTTCCAGGTGTGGGGAAAAGAGAAGAGGGAGTTAAATAAAAGGAGGACTAAGATTCTCTCTTTCCTTGCATGTGTGTAAGGGGGTGAGTAAATCTACCATCTGCATTATAATTCACCACCATTCCTGGCCTGAAGTCCCAAGACCATGAATGCCAAGTGGTTGGTTCCAAGGTGACATAAAAAACGTACTGGCAGTTACAATTAGTTTTGAGGGACTTCTCCAAGTTGGTTTAAACTCGGTTAAATATTTTGGATACATTCTGGTCTTAGATCAACTCAGAACTCAGGAAGAGAATTTCTAAATTATGCCTCCATCTTCCTCTCTCACATGAAGAATATTTATATGTTAATTTATCTCTTTTTTCTTAACTTCTTTTCTTCAGGAAGCTGAGATTTCCCTATGGATAAAATCATACCGAACGCAAATATTTATTCTCTTGAATTGCCTCATCAATATACTTTTCCAACTATTCAATTGCCTCACTCGGATATAGTACTTTTCCAAATGTCTTTCCCTTACATTGGTAATACATATATAATCAAGTCAGACTTGATTAACTCTGAATAAGTGGTATTCTGCACAGGGATTACTTTTAGAATTGTCTATTTACTTAAAAAAAGGTTTATTTACATGTAAACAATATGATTAGAGTATACATCAAGGGTTGGACTCCTTGGGTTAAAGTTTTGTTTTAAATAAAATCTGTTTATGGATAACAGACTCTAACTTAAAACAGTTTAACTTTGTCCAGTTCCAGTTAACCAAACAAACTTGAAATAAAAAAAGAAAAGCTAGTTCTGAGCATGAGGTCCCTGGAACAATCATACCAACATCCCGAAGAAAGCCACAGAGCTCCTCTGTGGAAAAAGGCTCTTGTTTGATACCTTTTTTGACATCTATACAACAATACAGAACAAGGACATACCTCGGTAGGACATACCTCCAGCTTACAACCTGGATCTACCTGGCCTCCTGGTTCATTCATTCATCCCACAAATACACTTTGGGAGTGCCTTACTATGTGCCAGGCACAGTTCTAGGCATTAGGCATCTATCAGTGAACAAAATGGACAAAGGTCCCTCCCCTCATGAAATAATGTTCTGATAAGAGGAGGCAGACAACAGTAAATATAATCAACAAGGAAAACATAAAGTGTATTAGGAGGTGATAAAAGGGTGTCCAGGCTCAGAGTCCCTGAGGAGGTGAGATCTGAGCAAACAACTTAACAACCAGTCAGGGAGCTGGTGCAGCAGATAGCAAAGCCTTAGCATTCAGTTAGGGGAAGGGGTATTTTTACAGAGACAATGGCTTCAAGAACATCAATTTACCAAATTTTTTTCAAATAACTTTAGGTTGGAATTGTTGAAACAGGCCTAAGTATCTAGTGCTCCAAAGCTGGATCATGATGCCTTGGTTCCTTATAAAACGCAAAAGCTCACATTTGTTTTGGTGCAGTGTCCTTGGCTGTCACAGGTAAATGCTACAGCAGATAACTTCAGTGAAACCCTTTACGTTACATTTGCTCAGTGGGAATTATTGAGGAAAATCATACTTGGCTCCATCATTAAGCTCCTTCCATGAAGCTTTCCCTGAGATTTTCTTGAAGAGCTAAGTGCTATAAAGGTTCACCTGAGTAACTAAAGCTTCACCAAAGTATCTTTTCAGCTTTTTTGATATCAAAAGCCTTACAAATGTATGTCTCCTGATCTTGGCTTCCTATTCTGTTTTGTATTTTCACTAGTTGTAATTTTGTCGCATATGTTTACTGAGAGATGCCTCATTGTTCCATGGAACATGGCCAATCATAAAACATTAACTCATGTTTAATGCTGAAAACGATCACTGCAATCATAACATCAAAAAAAAAAAAATGGAAGAATTGAATCCTTTATTTCTGTTCTTACTCTTCAAAGAAAGGTATAGTAGCAATTTTTATCCTAAATGATTTTGGATCAGCCACGTAATTCTTAAACAGAAACACTGTGTGAAGAATAATTCTTCCCCTCCCTAAATATACCACAATTTCTATTACAAGATGTGTAAAAGCTCACACTGCTTTAAATCTTACATTTTACAGATATACTGATAAGGTATTTTACTAGTATCCAGTAAATAACAAGCACATTCCATACCTGCTGATAAGCCATGTTGAGAAACAAGTATCTCTCTGACCTTCTCATTGGTAAGCAGAGGCTGTAGGCAACATGGACCGAAGCGAAGAAAAAACTTAGTAATCCAAGCTGTTTTCTACACTGTAACCAGGTCTCCAACCAAGGTGGAAATTTCCTATATTTGGTGCCGTAATAAAGCTGATACGCAGCTGCCAGGAGACCTGCTAGGTATACCAGGGACAGCAAAGTAATGGCAACTATGGGCAAGGTTTTATTCACAATCTCAATAGGAATCTTGTAAAAGTCACTCTGCTGGTTTCTAGCATATGGGTGTATCACATCTCTGACAAAGGAATAAAGAAAGAAAAACGTGGCTAGACTTATGGCTACCACCACTGGCCCTCTCCAGAGAGTAAATAGTCGCAGGGGTAAATTTTCAATCTCCCTGGCTGATGATAATGATCCCAAGTCAACAGGAATGAAATTCAGCTGACGGGCAAGTTCAATAACCTGTTGTCGAGCTTGAATATTGTTGCTGCATATATAGACCTGCGGCAAAAACAAAAGACTCATCATTACTATTGTTTGTAAAAATGGTGACAGTGACGATCACATGCTCCACTTCACCCATGGAACGTCATTTGTGACGACCTTGAGGGATGCAAAAAGTTAAGGAGGTAAAGCATTTATTAACATATTTGTCTATTTATTAATAGGTTAAAACTGTCATAGAAACAACAAAGTCCTTGCTACCTGTGATGACCTGAAAATAAAATGCAGAACAATCCTGCTAGAGCCTGGGATTGGGAAGTCCTCACGGGAAGAAAGCCAGGAGGAAAGAAAGGTTTCTAGACCACGTGTTTCGGCAGCAGTGGCACGGTAAGGTTGAGGTGGAGTTTGGGCTGCTGGCCCTCTCCTGCCCACTCCAGCTCTCACTCTCACAGGTATCATGGTGGGGTTGGCTTCCTGGACTTTCGAGGACAATATTCAGTTCTAGGACTGTAGTGATTCTGTCTAGTAGAGGGATTACAAGTACTGTCCTTTATAGATATTCAGCAAGAGAGAAGATGGGCATGAACTCTGGGTGGTTGAATTTGCAATTAAAATCTCTAACTTATGTCACAATGACGTACTATTTATAAAATTTATCTTTGGTTTAGAAACTGATTGACCAAGTATCTGAAGAACCATGAATCTCAAGTTATTATTATTATTATATTATTTCACTGGTCAGAATATGAAATTCTTTCATCTATAAATAGTGATACTATACCTATATGGGGGAAAAATGGTATTATAAGGTTTAGTTAATTTAAATAGTAAAGCAACTGCCATTTTCCAACACTAAGATGTTACCTCTGTATAATATAATGACATGATGGGTGGGGGGTGAAGGTGGACTTTCAAACTACACAAACCTCTTAGATAAATTACTGTAATTGAGAATTCAACAAGTATTTGTGAATTGTCACCAATTCACTGCTGAAGTGAGCCAGTATAACTTACGGGGAGGTCATCTTACTCAGGGCTAGAAAAATATTGCTATAAAATCTCTGGGTAATGTTTGGGGAAAACAAATTCCTAAATATATCCCTGAAGATGTTTATATAAGGTCTCTGGAACAGACCACACTAAAATATTTGCATGCTAAAATTTGCATTATGCTAATAATGTAGAGCTCTTCCAATTATTAATTCTACTTAACATTAACCAGAGGAGTAACAGACTCTATACTATTATACAAATGTTCACAAATTTCTAAAATGGAGTGGGGAAGAATACATATTCCAAAGAAATAAGGAAAAGCATTCTAAGGTAATTTATGACAGTTTTGACAATGGTGACTTTTTTTTTTTTTTTTACTTCTTGTTAAAAAACCCTAAAGTAATAAAATTTAATTATAGATATAACCTATAAACTATAACATTTATTTAAATTTAAATAAATTTAAAATTTATTTAATTTATAAACCTAAACATATAAATCCAACTTTTGTATTAAAGGCAGAGGGCCAAGAAATACAAACAAAACTATTTCTGTAACTCACTTTAAATTTAATTATTTGTTCCACAGTTGTTGTTAATGAATTAAAATTATCAAGGGGTGCCTGGGTGGCTCAGTTGGTTAAACATCCGACTCTTGATTTCAGCTCAGGTCATGATCTCACAGTTCATGAATTCAAGCCCCACACTGGGCTCTGTGCTGACAGAGCCTCTCTGCTCTTCCTCTCTCTCTGCTCCTCCCCTGCTTGCTCTCTCTGTCTCTCTCTCAAAATAAATGAATAAATAACAATTATCACAATTATGGGCAAAGGATTAAATTTAGGTTTAAATTTAAACAAATTTAAATTTGGTATGTATCCATTCCTAAACTTTGATAGATATACAAAAGAAAAAAGGATTTAGAAATGACCTTTGGAAAGCTGGAAAGTATATAATCTTTTCCAACTCTTCCAAATCAAAGACCTGAAAGTGAATGGTTATCATGACTGGATATGCATGCAGTGGTATAATGCTTGAATTTATTTCTTAAGGCATTTAATCTAAGGCATAAACTGTCTTTATCGACAAAAATAATAAAAGTCTTTTACCACCATGCTTAACTATGATGCATGACTACACCTTTAAAAGATTTTTAAGGTGCACTATTTTACACGTTTACTTCTAAAGGTTCTCATTAGGCATTGATGGCATTGATGGAGCATTGATGGAGCTCCCCATCTGCTTTATTCTCAAGTTGAACTAGATAGAACCCATATACTAAAAAAGAACCTAAGAAATCCAGCCTGCCTCTCCACACAGATTAAAATTTACACTTTAAATAAAATGGGCTGCACTATTTTAAATTCTATGAAGAATCTATGTAAAGTAAAAAGGTACTACTAAAGAATTCTTCTTGAGGATCCTACTAAATAGTGTTTCATATGCAGATGGAATACTGTTATCAAACAGCTGCCGGGAAGAAGGGAGGAAGAAAGTTTGGGAGATAGAGGAAGAAAAAAGATATGTTTGTTATTGTTTCTGTTTTTGTGGAAGCCAGGAGAGACTCAAGGCAATGTGGCCCATTATTCATCAGCCAACTTTGCCTTTCCCTGAATTAGCTGGTGACAGGAAAAGTCAAGTGACAGGAAAATCCAAATAATTTTCTTAGCTTTCCACATTATTTTATAGGGGTAGAAATGTACCCTCAAGGTCAGGACACGATTTTTCAGATGCTCCTATACAGTTTTCAAAATGATAATCCTTGGAGAGTCAGAATTTGCTTTTTAGAAGTATGACTTTTTTTTCACCACTTAAATTAGGGATTAGGAGGTACAAACTTCTAGTTACAGAATAAGTAAGTCATGGAGATGAAAGTAGAGATAGGGAACATAGTCGATAGTATTGTACTAATGTGTGGTGACAGATGGTGACTGCACTTCTCGTGGTGAGCACTGAGTAATGTACTGAATTGTCAGATCACCATGTTGTACACCTGAAACTAACAGAACACTGTATGTCAACAACTATACTTCAATAATTAAAACAAAGAAAAGAAAATTTAAAAACAAATTTAAAAAAAACACAAAAAACACATACCTGCCGGCTGGCATCCTTAGGTCCTAACTGAAGTGCCCAAGCTGAGACAACATTAAAGCCTTTGACAATCAGGGAATCTGGGAATAATGAAGCCAAATATTCAGCGTTGGATTCTGGATATTGGTTTATCCTCATGTTATTGCTCACATCAATCAGGATTTTACCCACAAGCAGATGTCTCAGGTCCCACAGGGAGGTGTAATGTTCTCTATGTATAGCAATAAATATTATATTTGTTTTTGTCAGAGCATCTTCATGATGAGTGACATCTACCACATGAGGAAAAAATTCGGAAGCAAACTTAGGATTTCTACTTCCTATAACCACATGATAGCCACATCTAATAAGTCGAATCGTCAGCGATTTGGCAAAATCCCCACTTCCAATGACACCCACGGTGACCTTCCTTGCATCTTTGATACCATTGATGCCATTAGGCAAAAAAGTTTCGCTAAGATTCTTAGGGCTTCCCATCATAGAGATCGATTCCATGATAGAGGCTCTTTCAAGATCACCAGAGATATCCTAGGGGAGAGAAAATAAAATCTTCATCAATTACTTATGACCAAACATTCAAACACTTCTAGACATTAAAATACTACCTCTCATTTCTAGAGGTGAAATATTTTGGCAAGGTGTATAAAACCTAGAACCCAGCAAGACACAATTTGTAAGCTAAAAAAGGATGTCAAAGTAGAAAAATGAACTGTCACAAAGTTGATATGCTAAAGTGTGGCTTCTAAATTTTTAATGGACACATGAATCACCCAAGAATCTTATTAAAATGCAGATTCTGACTCAGTAGGTCTGGAGTGAGGCCCAAGATTCTCCATTTCTAACAAGGTGATGCTGATGCTGCTGGTCTGCTGACCCCTCGTTGAGCAGCAAGACACCATGGCACAAAAGGAACCAGACTGAAGTTTTCACCTAGAAACATGGTTCTAACAAGTCTGATTCCCCAGTTTGGCAACAGATCAGAGGGAACCAATCAGAAATGCCACTAGAGGTAAGGGGACCGTGCTGGCATGTGACAGCTCACATGACAACAGAAGACAAAAAAGCCACAAAAAACAAAAAACTATTTAAACTAAAACTGGCTAGACTCATTTAGGATGGAGTCAATCAATGATCCTATACACCTCCACAGCTAATGAGTGACTTTATTCTTAAATGAGATAAATCAGCTAATAAAAAATGAACCCCTGCATTTAAATAAGAGTTAAAGAAAAACAGGCTTTAAAATATAACAAAGGATTCCACTGACTTCTGTCATTCACCCTATATCCTATACTTTACTCAGAAAGACAGCTTTCCGATGAAAACGGGGTTAGTAATGTGTTTATGGCCTTAAATTACACAATACTTATGAAATCTTTTTCTTCCCCTTTTATTTGTTGGCTTCACAGAATAGGATGCCGTTTATTTTCCCTGAAAAAATTTATCAAATTCTTTTTTACTTAAGTGAGTAACATAATGACTTGCTCAAGAAGACACATCAGATGGCCATGAATCAGTGTCACTGCTGGATCTGAACAAAAAACACTCTTCCACTCCATCCCCATTGCGCAATGTCTTTTATGCTTACAGCAGATGTAAGCACCACAGAGGATTTAATGGATTTTACAGGAACAGGTAGAATGCTTCAAAAAACATGTTTTTGGGGTTTTAATTAAATGACATTTGAAATGTAGAAGAAAGCCAGAAAAACTCAATTTCTTACCCTAGAAATGGATCACAATGACTCAAAAAACCTGTAAGTTAATCTTCAGAAAAACAATAATAATATTGCCTAATACTCACATAACACATTCTATCTGCCAACTGTGCTTTTTTTTATTCACTGACCGAACCCTGCAACCACTCTGTGAGACAGGTGCTAATGTTGCCATGCCCACTGTGAACAGGAGGCACCAGACATGCAGTAGATGACTAATTTGTCCAAGGTGAAAGGTGAGAAAGTCAGGGAGCCACGATTAGAACCCATGCAGTCCAGCTAAGGCATGTTGTCACTTTGGTGCATGTCAAGAATTTAAGAGCGGGCTTTTTCTTTGAGTGGGGGGTGACATGGAACAGTTAGTTATGGTTGTGCTCAACCACAGAGTAGTATATTCTCCTTCTCTGGCCGTGGTTTGCTCCTCAGCATTAGCTAGTGATCTTAATGTCTAACTCAGATCCTGGGAAGGGAGAAAACTCCCTATTTTTGAATCTATTACACGTTTCCTTTCACACTTTTCAAGATAGAAGGGGGTGGTAATTATCTGCTTCCCATACACTCAGAAGGCCAGGCAGAGGTCAGAGGCA